CACGACTTTCAGTCTTGCATGCGAACACTACACCACTGAGCCGGTCGGCATCCAATGGAGTTAATGTCGAATGTTGACCTAAGAATGCGACCACTAGCTTCCTGAGGAAATTTTCAGAGTTCTAGTGTAAATACATGACCAGTGGAGTTCAACCTTGTCTGGGTGAGGTTGCGCAATAACTTAGATTGATCAAAGTTAAACGTTAACACTGATGAATGCTGACCATCTCATTGGTGCATACGGTAAGCATTCACGCGTGAGACTTAGCGTCCTGGGATCGATTCCTTCGCTAGCTTGGAGTGGATGAGCAATGCTAAGGAGTCACACATTAAGATGAAACGGCTGTCCAGTGCTCTCAGTTTTCTAACGGTGGTCTTACAAGCACTGATTCACGATTCCAATGTAAAACAAAACTTCATCATGATCATCCACCGGAACCACGAATTTTCTTCACCATCTCGAAGCTTTTTGAGTTGATATTCTTGATTGTGTATAAGTGGTCTCTAATATCGACAATAAATGTGCTTAATATAAGAGTATATTGTCTGTTTGTATTCAATAACTTGAATGAGATTTCGAGACAGTACTAACTTACTTAAGCCTATTACTCCTAATGCACCATTGGCTGCCGATCAGTATTCTCCTGCCTATTCTGTCCTGAGTAATCTTTTCCAGTTCTGTCCAATCGGTGTTCATTCTCTTCACGTCTGTCTCCAGTTCTAAGCGTAGTGTGTTCTTTGGTCTCCTTCCTTTTGTGATATTAAGGGGACTAGTACATTATGACGAATTAGATTTTGCGTCACTCAGAATGACAATCAGACATTTCAAACAATTGATTTAGGCCATATTGCTTCCACTAGATCGATCAGCACTAAGAAGGACTTGACATACATGACATACAGTAGTAGGTCAGTCGCAACCTGAATAACTCATTCTTAACGTCTGTGATTGTGTATCCGAAGGGAAATGGGATCGACTTCTCCAGGGAGCACTAGTTACACTTAGCTGACAAGTATCAAATAGAATAGAACTTGAGCTTGAGATTTTTTCAAGTAACATCAGTCACTACGTTATGTGTGAAAAGTAAGTAGTATAATTCGATCAAATTATTTTTTTGGCAATTTGTTGGATTTAAGTGTTCGAGATGGGTTGCATCCATTTATATTACATAAGGATGTACCATGAGTCGATTAATGTTACAGCGCCATTAAAAACTTGGAAGCATTGGACCGCCCATTTTTTTCTAGTTTGGGACTTATCAACAGTGCGTATCGACGACTTCTGCTCAGTCAGTCAGTCAGATGCAACGTTGAACTTCGTACGTACATACATCAGTTCATGTTGCCATACCACATTAGCACACAGAAATGGAATTGTCAATTCAAATCCAATAGTAGAAGAGGTAGTAAAGGTATTAGAAGTAATCGGAGAGCTTAAGATCAGAAGATATTATTCAAGAAGTATGATTCAGTGAGATAATTTGAGAAAGACAAAACTAGAGGTGTTGAAGAATCCAGAAGATTAGGATTTGAGAGAACACAGAGAATAAATGCACTGGCGCCATTGCGAACGATTTTGATCCATGTCATTCAAGGTCTCTAACCATCGATTATTATCATCTGGCGGACCACCGACCAGGTAGTCGACAACTACCGACATGACTCAGTCCACTTGTCAGTGACTTCATGCATTTCTACCATGTTTTAGTCTGGCCGCCCCTAACTTTCCTCCAACCTCCTCCTACACTGCAAAACAAAGCTCGTCGAGGCAGTCAGTGGTTAGGCATACGCAGCACATGTCCCAACCACCTCAACTGATGAAGTTTCAATACTTCATCTATTGACCTGTCATCCTTACCAAGCACCCGATTCCTAATAACAGCGTTGCTCACTCGGGTGTCCCACGATACTCGAGCAATACTTCGAAGACACCTATGATCGAAAACCAGTATAACCTATGAATATCTTCTACTCTCACTAGCCGAGTTTCACAGCCATAAAATACAGCTACGGCCGGGACGACTCCTGCTCGCCAGGATCGAACTCGGTAACTTGGACATCGTGTTGGCGAACGCTTAACCACTAGACTATTGAGGCTCATACAAGGATGGAATGTATATTTTAGTTTCAAATCAACATACACACATTGTACAAACATTCATAATTGTATACCACTAATCCATATTTTATTCCATAGAGAAAAATAAGATCGCGGACCATAATTGATCTTTTCATATTCTATTCATAAATCTGAACAACAAAAAATAAGGAAATGAAAGTATTCACTCTCTTTTCCTCATGCATAAATGGTTATCTGATTAATTATTAAGTAAGAAAAAGTAGACAATTTGAAATTTTGGTTTTTTTTTGATTTTTTCGATTATACTACTAATAATAATAATGATAATAGTAATAGTAATAGTAATCGTATAACTGTCATCTCCATTTTTTTATCAGATAAAGAAAAAAAAATATGGGTATATATAGATTAAAGTATAAAATATTTATGATGAATTGAACGATATTTCATCGTGATGTGTTTTTCAACTATTTTAGAAAGTAATCAAAAGATTTGAGTTTAGGATTTAAACAGTTTTGTTTTATTTTAAAACTTGTCCAGTTAAATGTACCAGACAGATTTACAGTAGTCAAGCTTCAATTAAAATAGTGATCGATTCATGATTTCAGCGAAATTCAACTTTGTTGTACTCACTACTGACTAGTTTTGTGATAGGATCGTTATAGGGCCTGTGAGAAGCCATGACTAGTGGGGTTCAACCGCTTTGGATCTGAGGTAGATACTTACTAAAGACAGTGGATGGGTGCACGCAATATCATGCGTTCGCGTGAGAGACTGAAAGTCATTGATTCTATTCCTACCTGCGAGGTTGTGAATAAGCACTTCTGAGGAGTCCTATGCTGGTGGAAAAAAAAACCTCAATTCAGGTTTTACAGGCTTTGAATGATAGGTTCACATTAGTCGATTCATAGTTTCAATGAAACTCCAACGATCTGCACAACCATTATAATGATAAAACATGAGAGGTTTGTATCGTGAACTATTGAGTTCAGATAGTAGACATTCATCTGGCGAGCATGATTTTCAGATTTAACTGCATAACTGAGAGAACATAAAGCAAACATTTTATTTAAGTTTTCTAACACAATCAAAACTGAAATATTTGTTTTAAATTTAAAATTGATTATTCACTCTTGAATAGTGAATGATGATGATGATGATCTATCTTAATCATTCAAACTAACTGAAAACATTGATGGGCACACATTTCATGCATTGTACTATAGTTGCTATCAGTAAAGTGTATCGCTATCTCGATCAGATTGTGGTGGAATTTCGTGCTCTGAGCTGGATGGTTTAGTTGTATAGCTTTGATTGTTCTTCTAAACAATATGATCATCAGCAAGGAACTTCAGATAGAAGTGAAGTGAAGAACTCAAAATTCTCCATATGTGACTCGTAGATTGTTCTGTTGACGGCGATCTTGATTAGTTGCTGTTGACTTTAAACAACCAACTTATTGTGTAAATTAATGTATATTTTAGCATGAAGTTGCTTTGCACCAATCGTTGGCGATAGTCAGGTGTGGGCTTTGCTCTGCCAGGAACCCTTTTAGGGTTACTGCCAGTTCCAAGCTCCCGGATAATGGTGGAGGGTTGGGCATAGATTTAGCTACCCGATCCTTTAAAAATCCAAATGGCTGACAAACACTAACCAGAAAAATTATTTGCTTGTCAATGGCATATGCTCCAATGAGAGTAACTATCAGACAATACTTCGTGGATATGAGTTTACACAGATACACTGAAACCACTAATTATCCGTATATAACACTAGAAGTTCAAATGATTTTCTCCACTAAGTATTTTTGCATGGTAGAAATATAGAGATAGTTACTTTACATTGAAAATCTGCAATCATTGGACAGCCGTTTCGTCCTGGTATGAGACTAATCAGCAGTGCGAATCCACAACTCTTGGTACTCGCAAGATTCGAACCCAGGATTTTCGGTCTAACGCATAAACTCTTAACCTCTGAACAACTGAGCCGTCATCCAGTTATGTTAATATCTAACTCCGATCAATCTAACAATAATTTATTCACGATTTCAATGTGAAACATCAACCTTCATATTTCTATTTTACAAAAATCATATAAATGTACTCATTAGTGATTAGTGAGGCAATACTCGGAGTTCTAATGACAAGACATGACCATTGGAGTCCAACCCTTTCAGGTGTAGGCAGTAACTACTAAAGACAATGGTCGAGGTTATGCGAAATCCTTAGATTGATCAGTGATTGATATAAGCACCACAGGATGCCGGCCATTTCAGTGGTCTAGATATTATGCATTCTCCCGCATGACCAAAGGTCCTGAGTTCGATTCTTGTAAGCATCAGAAGTCGTGGATGCGCACTGCTGATGAGTCCCATACCACATCGAAATAGCTTTTCACTGCTTCTAGGTTTCTAACATTAGTCATCTAACAATCATTCATTCATGATTTCAATATGAGGTGATTGTGAACTAGCGAAATTACTTACTTACTTACTTACGCCTGTTACCCCCAATGGAGCATAGGCCTCCCACCAGTTTTCTCCAACCAACTCTATCCTGGGTTGCCCTTTCCAGTTCTGTCCAATTATCAAATAAATATCAACTTGTATAAAAATTTCAAGTGTACTAAAGACAATAATCCCTTTTTTAATTTTACTTCAGTTTTAGATATCCTTCCTAATGAACGATTTATTGATCAGTTAACGGAAGAAATCAATCCACCGTTGTTACAATGTCAATTTGAAGATTTTACATCTTTACATCTTTTTACAAAATAAATTGATCAAATCAAATTTTTTGAAATGACAATGTGTACTCGACATTCACATTGATGCATTGATGTCAGAGAAGAGATATTCAAGTAGAAATTGATGCCAAAAAATCAATCACCACTATTCATCATTATTTATTCATACAACTAATAAGGAGAATGCTGAAATCCGTTATAATTGATTGGATAAATTGCCAATTTTTGCCTTCTTTGTTTTTTTAAATGAACAAAGAATTAACACGTAAACGTTCAAAATATCATAGTCATAAAATTGACAAGTTTTTAATACAAGAATATGAACATCGTAAAAAAGAGATACAATTACTTTTAATTGGTAAGTGATTGATTGGTTAATGACTAACTACTACTTACAAGTAGTCTGTTTATATACATATATATATACATATTCTTTTATAGTAAAAGAGAAAATTGATATTAATTTAAAAAGTAAAAAAAAATGTAACACATTTGAAAATTTCACGCAGTTGGTTTTAGTTTTATGATTTTCAATTAGGTAGGAACAATAATTTACTGCTTTTGATATTCAGCAACTCATTTGTCACTAAACGACTGAGTTACTTACTTACTTACTTTCTTACTTACTTACTTACTTTCTCCTGTTACCCCCGATGGAGCAGAGGCCGCTGACCATTATTCTCTCATCAACCTACTCTGTCTTGGGCGTCTATTCACAGTTCTATCCAATTTTTGAAAATTCTTCTCTTGCCTGTCTCCGATTTTCGGCGTAATGTGTTCCTTGGCTTTCCTCTTTTCTTTTATCCTTGAGGATTCCAAGTGAAGGCTTGTGTTATGACGCAGTTTGATGTTTTCCTTAATATGTGTTCTATTCACTTCCACCGCTTCTTCCTGATTTCCTCCTGGGGCCTCCCTGGCGTTACCACCGGTCTTAAGCCTGGATAAAGGAGGAGGGTTATGCTTCCGGTCGGCGATCCCGTCTCTTAGAAAACTAACTCGCTAACCAGAAAAATCAATTCAGACTAGTGAGTGCCTTAGTTACAGGCATCAAAGGAACCTACTGAATGAAATCTATAAAGAAGCACCTCCTTGATCATGTTTTAAAGCAGATTAATTGTTTAATGACAATCATTTGTAGATTATCAGCTAAAGTAATGAGATTGTTGCCTCAAGTGAAGATTAATGTTGATCGGTGGTGATGTACTCTGTTCATCATGAGATTATAGACATACACTTCTATGTGGTATGAAATAAGATGAAAAAAATGAACCTTGGGTTTCCATGATTCTCCAACTGAAGTCTGTTCATGCTAACAACTGACTTTGTATTGAACAATATTTCTATAAATCTCCTACCTTATGTGTTAAGCTACCCCGAGAACGAAGAAAGCCGATCGGTTCTTCCAGGTGAAAAGAAAAGAGTAATTAATTCACCTGCATTTATGTATAAAACACATCAGTAAAGCAACCATCTGTTTTCATTATTATGGTTGAACTGAAATGTCCCGATCTATACTTATGCTCTCTTCTTTTCCCAATTAATACGGGATGAAAACGTGGTACTGACCTACCCAAGTATAGTTTTACATTCATGCTATCTTCAAATACTTTTAAATAATCAAAATCGCTGATGAGCAGTTATGGGTAAACCGTTAAAAAACTTGAAACTTTTTCCAAAATGTGTTTTATAAGCATATATATCGTAGGCATATACATTTCAGTGATATACACACATAGGTATAAACAGGCCCAATCACTAATATGCGTTACACGCAGATATGAAATGCATAAACTAAGCCGACTATTTCCGTAAGTATGCATAAGCATAAGCGTATAGACTATTGGTATAGTTAGAGTGCATTGACCGAAGCCAATACTCTCTTACATACACATAAGTATAGAAGGGTTCGTTCACGTCAGGTCTAAGCCAGGCAGTATTTATCTTACTGAATAACTCCTTCACGACCATGCATATCACGGATAAATTTTATATCGACCGCTGCTCACTGGTTATAGCACAGTTTATGGTCATTAACCATTCTGGCTTATCCTAAACAAACCTAATTCTTTGACTTAGAGATTACTTACTTACTTAATTAATTACGCCTGTTACACCAAATCGAGCATAGACCGCCAACCTTTTTTCTCCAACCAACTCGGTCCTAGGCTTCCCTTTCCACTTCTGTCCAATGTTTGTTCATTCATCTCATACCTTTCTCGATTTCTTGGCGTAATGTGTTCCTTGGCCTTCCTATTTTCCTTTTGCCTTGAAGGTTCCATATGAGGGCTTGTCTCGCTATGCAGTTAGGTACTTTTCGTAGTTTGTGTCCTATCCACTTCCACCGCTTCTTCCTAATTTCCTCCTCCATTGGAATCTGGTTTGTTCTCTCCCACAGTACATTGTTGCTGATGGTGTATGACCAACGAATCCTCAGTATTTTGCGTAGACAACTGTTAACAAACACTTGTATCTTCTGGATGATGGCTTTAGTAGTTCTCCAGGTTTCTGATTCATACAGTGGAACTGTCTTGACATTTGTATTGAAAATCCCGATTTTGGTGTTGATTGACTGATGTTTGTTTGGAGTTCCAGATATTTTTCAGTTGTAGAAATGCAGCCCTCACTTTACCAATCCGCGCCCTCACATCTGCATCGGTTCCACCTTGGTTGTCGATGATGCTGCACAGATATGTAAAGGTGTTAATGTCCTCCAAGGTATCTCCATCAAGAGTGATTTGGTTGGCGCATGTTGTGTTGCATCGGAGAATTTTGTTTTTCCCTTTATGTATGTTGAGACCTACTGCTGCAGAGACTGCTGCTACACTGGTCATCTTCTCTTGCATTTGTTGTTGCGTGTGCGATACAAGAGCCAGGTCATCCGCGAGGCTCAGATCGTCCAGCTGCATCCTAGCTGTCCATTGAATACCGTGCTACCTTCCAGCTGCTGACGTCTTCATAATCCAGTCGATGATCAAGAGGAAGAGAAAGGGTGAGAGTAAATCATCCTACCTGACACCGGTCTTCACCTCGAACGAGTTTGTCAGCTGACGATTTTGCAGTTGAATCCATCATAAGAATTTTGTATGATGTTGACTATCTTTTCAAGCTCGCCTTAGTTTTGAGGAAGCATCCATTCGACCTTGAGATAATCATGATATATTTGAATGCAAGTTTATATATACATACTGTAGCATATATAAATCTTCACACTTCGCAACCCTCATCATATATACAAATCTAAGACAAATTAAGCAATCAGCATCGTTTCCATTTTGCCACTTGTATTAGCTTAAAAAGGAAGTTAATTTCCACTATTCAGGGAACACTTCTTGTAAGAACAAGTCAGTCTTTGCCCCGTACCTCTCATCCATTCATTCAAGCATCCATTCGACCTTGAGATAATCATGATATATTTGAATGCAAGTTTATATATACATACTGTAGCATATATAAATCTTCACACTTGCCAACCCTCATCATATATACAAATCTAAGACAGATTAAGCAATCAGCATCGTTTCCATTTTGCCACTTGTATTAGCTTAAAAAGGAAGTTAATTTCCACTATTCAGGGAACACTTCTTGTAAGAACAAGTCAGTCTTTGCCCCGTACCTCTCTCCATTCAATTTTGCTTGTACATTTTCGGCCTAAAAATCATTAGTAGACATTCTTATTAATCCAAATATGAAACGAAATTAATTAATTTTGATTATTTCGACTTTTTTTGAAAATTAAAAACAAATTTAATTGAATTAATTATGACAAAAACAATTTTTATTTTTTGGGGAAAATATAATCTCTACAATAAATTCAATGGTATTGACTTTATTCATTTTGTATACTTTTACGTAACACTGTCTATGTGTCTATTTCACTCTGTCTATAATGAAAAAAATGTTATGGATACTTACTGTTCACGTGTTCTCCTAGTTCAGATTTTCAATTAATCATTGTTAGACTATCATTAGAAATGTGAAAGCACTGGACGGCCGTTTCGTCCTGGTGTGAGACTCATCAGTGGCAGTGCGCATCCACGACTGCTGCACCTTGCAGAATTCGAATCCAGGACCTTCGGTTTTGTGCTCGAATGCTTAACAGCTTGACAAATGGGTCGGCATCCATTGGTGTTAATGTCTAACTCTGATAAATCTAGGGATTTTACGCGACCTCACCCATTTGTGTTTGGTAGCTACTGCCTACACCCGACAGGGTTGAACTTCACTGGTCAAGTCTTCTTACTAGGACTTCGAGAATTTCCTCGCGAAGCTAGTCACTAGTATGCACATTTTATGATTTTTCTATTAGAGTTATGAAGATTAGTGTTTGTTGTACACTGAAATCATCAATCAATGATTGTTAGATCACTACCATTAGAAATCTAGAAGCACTGGACGGACGTATCGCCTTGGTGTATGGGAATCATCAATGGCATTGCGAATCCACGATTACGGCACATAAAAAAATTACAGTAAGAACACTGAGAATGGGAATAAATGATGGTGTATGTCAGTCAGTCAGTTACAATGTAGAACTTCGAACGTAAGCACATTAGTTCACGTTGCCATACCAAATTAGCACAGAGACGCAATTGTCAATTCATATCCAATAGTAGTAGAGGTAGTAAAGGTATCGGAGAGATTAGGGTTCGAAGATGTCATTCAAGAAGTAAGTGAGGTAAATTTAGAAAGAGAAAGATAGAGGGGATGATTGATTCAGGACGTTAGAATTTCGTAGATCACAAAGAATGAATGCACCTGCGTCATTGCAAACGGTTTTGAGCCATTTCATTCAAGGTCTCTAAACATCGGTTATTATCATCTCGCGGACCCCAATCAGGTGGTCAAAACCTACCGACATGACTCAGTGCACTTGCCAATGACTTGATTTATTTGTGCCATGTTTTAGTTTGGCCGCCCCTAACTTTCTTCCAACCTACTCCTACACTACAAAACAAAGCTCGTCGCAGCAGTCGGTGGTTAGGCATACGCAACACATGTCCCAACCACCTCAACTGATGAAGTTTCACTACTGCATCTATTGATCTGCCATTCCTACCTAGAACCCGTTTCCTAACAAACAGCATTGCTCACTCGGGTGTCCCATGATATACGAGCAATGCTTCCTAAACATCTATGATCGAATACTAGTAACCTACGAATATCTTCTACTCTCACTGGTCATGTTTCACAGTTTCAAAGTAAGATGGAGCGAACTACTGCACAGTACACTCGTCCTTTAATCAGCAAACGGATATCTCACCTTTGCCATAAGTGACGCAAATTGGCAAAAGCCAATCAATCCCTTCTGTAGATTACAGTGTATGTATGTCAACTATTATGTGTGTACACTTGCATTTT